CAAGCAGTAGAATGTCTCACTATGTCCACCGAGTACAATACTAATAAAACAGCATGAATTGACAGCTGAGGGAAATTGAACTGCACAAAAAGATAGCTGTAACTAACACATTTATCACTCACTGGCATTGACAAGTTTCGAGTTTCTTTTTGAAAAGTACAGATGATCAAGAGAGATTGAACTAGAAAATTTAATATCATTGTATTGACTATGAAGGGTACTAAAAACCATTGATGAATATTGATATATACCCGAAATTGACTTTACAGCAACATAAATAAATAAAGCATTGACTAAAAAGAATTTCATGTAGGCCAGTATCACCTTCCGAATCAATCACCCATTAGCGTGCAGATTTCAACTGTAAGGAAAGCAGATGCCTTCTCCTTATGACTAGTGAAAAGGTAGAAGTCACACTATTCATTATCTTTGGCATCTTGAATATAAATTTTCATTTGTGAAAAAAGAAAAAGAACTGTATTACAACTTAATGTAAGTTTTTGTTTTTCCACGATATAAAGTTTAATAATTTTTCTTAACTTTATTTCAAAGTAAATATTTATAAAACATAACGTGTATTTACAAATAATTGAAAATTTGTAATTTTACTTCTGTTTTCAAAATTTAAATCTACAACACATGAACAGATAAATAGTAAAATATAATATTTTTTTTCATGTTAACTGAAACAAAGATTGCATCAATTGATTAAATGTATTGTAATCTGTTCTTGTTCTTACAATTTCTTCCATTATATTCATCAATTTTTGAAAACGTAAAATTTGTGTAATTATAATTTCTATTGAATGTATTGCTTCTCGTTCTCCAAATAAATAATTTAAATAACGCCATAATATTATTGTATAAAACTCTTGAATTTTGTATATATCTACTTTATTTATATAATCATCAAATTGATTATTACCAAGTGGTGTAGATAAATTAATACTAAACAAAAGAACAACAAGTGCAAGTTTTAAAATCAATGGATGTTCTATAAAACGATCAAAATATCGACGTGTTCGAGACATTTGACAATGAAAATCTTCATTTATCCATTTTGACATATATATACCAATAAATGGATTTTCTTGAAATTTTTCTATGAGAATATAATGTAAATGAATAATTTTAATAAGATTACATTTAATTAATAAAACTTGATCATCTATATGTAATTGTTTAAATTCAGGTATAGATTTATAAAAATAAATTAATGATTGATGCATAATACTTTCTTCATTAAAAAATTCTATTAAAGATAATGATAATATATTTTTATTTAAATAAAAATCATCAACATAATTAACTCCTAATTGATAAGCATTTGTAATATTATTTAATAGAATTTGATCTTTATTAGATAGATTACGATTAAAACCAAACAATGTTTGTGTAAAAATCTAAAAAAAAAACAAAAAATATATCAACAAATATGTAAATTATTATTCAATGATTATTTTATATTTACGGGATTAATAACAAGTTCTTGACTTTTTATCATAAAATGTTTTTTCTTTCGTTGAATTATTGGAAGAGTAACAAGAGATTGTGAAGCATTTGATGAAATATTCGTTTTCTTTTGTTCTTTTACTAATTTAATTAATTGTCTTAAGTGTTTTTCTTTTTCAGTACGAATCCAATCTTTACGCATTTTAATATCAAAACATTTTTTTAATCGACAATACGTACATTTACGACGTGTATTAATATTGATATCACATGAACCAGAAAAACGACATTTTAAATCCGGCTAAAATGACAAGTTAATTTTTCATAAAATGTTTTAGAAATTGAGCAAATATCTCAATGGGTATATATTAAGTATTTATGTATTAAGACAATTACTCAGCTAAGATTGATTTCAACTAAATAGTTTACTCATATCTATTTTATTGAAATAAATCTTCTCTTTAAATCAAAAAAGGCGAAATGGGAATCTAAGATACACGAGCTTATAATCACCATCACTTATCAATATACATCAATAAAAACAAATCAATCATCGAGTGACGACACATACGATGAATCATTTCGATAGACGAAAAAATGAAATTATTATAAATTTTCTTGTCTATATACTTTAATAACAAAATCAATGACAATATGATAAATTTGATCATTAATGAATACATATATTGTACTATTCTAGGCTAACGATTCAATCTTAACTAATAGATTATTACCATATATCGTAATGCATTACGACGAAAAAATGCTTTACATGATTCACAAGTAATTTGATCAAAATTATAACCATGAGCTGGTGCACCACAAACACGACATTCAAGATTCGACAATTGAGATTCTTCTGTTGATAATATTTGTGAGTAGTTTTGATTATTCTGTAGAAAAAAAAAATAATAATAAATATTAAACGAATATAATTTCAAAAATATTTACTTCAGCTGATAATAATATTTCTTTATTTTCATATTCCATTGATATTAAATTATTATCATGTTCATTGTGATAAATAAAATTAAATGCTGAAGAAAATAGATCATCAAAATCAAATAATTGATTGTTTGAGATATTATTCCAATATTCATTATTCGAAATGGTATTCGTCATTGTTGTCATTATCTAAAATACAAAGTTTTGTTTTTGGTCATTCACTAAATACTAGAAATAAAAAATACCTTAATATTAATCTTTGAAGAAGTAATCTTTTTCAAAATATTGCTCTTTTTTATATAGATGACCGAAAAGTACAATATTAGATGTTAAAATAAACGATTAAGTGAAAGCATTAAGTTATTGAAATGAAAAAGAGATGATGTGAATCAGATGTTCGTTATATTCACTCTTTCTTGTTCTGCCATAAAATATACTTGAATCAAGTCTTATATACAACGAAAATACTCATTTCTTTTTCTTTTATTGAGTTGTTCGTGGAGATGACACATACTTAATCGATGTTTATTTTCTTCTTTTTTTTACACTTATAAATAGATGAATTTCCTTTGATTTCGAAAGCTATACTAGTACTGGTGAGTCATAAAGTTTTATATTGCTGTAGAGTAATTGTTAACATTGTGTTTCGATGAATGTCTAATGGTGATATTTCATTATCTCTTCTTGAATGCTCCTACACAATGCACATAACTTCTCACTTAAAAGACAGTATTTTGTTTCCAGAGATTAAACCAATTAAAGTATGATGAGAAGCCCTTACACATAAATCTAAATTGAACTGTTTAAATAAATCAAAAAATATTATTAACTGTTTCTCAGGTTGAAATTAGAAATGAATTTGTCGGTCTCTACTCAATATATGTTTCAAAAAAAAAATGTAAGATTAATTTCAATCAAAATTATAAAATTTATTCTTTGATCAAACAGTAGATCGTCAAAAGTAAGAAAGCAACTAAAAAGTAGCCATTGCAAAAATTCATTACGAAGACAGTTTAGTAATATCTATTGATTGATTAGTTACATATATAATACAAAAACACTTATTTAGATAATAAATGCTGGCTAACCTCATTTTTAATTATTTCGAATCTTCAAAACTATGCTATTTTGCTGGATCTCTTGATAAAAACAAATCTTGCGGATAGTATCGATTCAATCTCGTATTAAAGCAAATATTTTTCATTCTTTTGAGATCATCAAATTATGAAATGAAAACTTCTAATGTTTATGTTTAGTCATTAAAGCAAAAAGAAAATGAAGTTGATAAATGACTTTATAAATACTGTATTTTTTTGCATCGTATTAATTATACATAAATATAGAATACTATTGAAGCATGATATAAAGTGCATTGTATATGTTTGCACTTAAACGAACCACAAGCACGTTTTCATTGTTCTTATAAATAATTCAAATGTGTCAGATTCGACACACAAAAAAAAAGAAATCAATATACTACAATAAATTGTAGTACAAAAAAATCTATGTATGGTAATCATAGTTTTACCTTCTGAGTTTATTTTTTTTTTTACAGAACATAATTTCAATAGATGTACATAGAGAAAGAGTAACAAAAGAAAGTCATGCTTTTTTTTTTGAATTGCATTAAGAAATAGGTAAATTAAATTAAAAAAAATATATAGAACAAAAGGAAAAAGCAAATGTCAGACATTGCATACGAAATGGCAATACATTTTCACCCTGAGTAATATAATAAATTAATTTTTTTTCAAAATATTAAGCTAATTGAAAAAGAAAAACAAAATATATTAGAATTTATTTCTTGATAATGTTAACTTGATTCAAAAATCAAAAGAACAAGTTTTATGAGTTCAAATAAATATTCTATCGTTGGTCAAGAATATTTGCAAAGTTATATACAATAGTAGAAACCTACTTTCTAAACTATAGTGATTCGGTAAAAAGCTGTTAGTACAATGCTTGCAGAATTAAAATGTAAAACATGATGTAGCTGTTTATTGTCAATCACGGGAAAACTTCATGATACATCATATCTTCAAAATCAAAGCATTATGTTGAGAACAGATACCTGACTGACGATAGGAACTCGAGGAATATTTAGAGTGAAGAACCAGCTAAATGTAAGGGCTGACTCTTCAGTATTATGACTTTCTTTTCATACACTACGATTGCATTGTTGATATCAATCAAAGATGCTCATGACAATGTTGTTGCGCCGCTATCAGTTAGAATCATCGTGAATTTGATAAATTTGATTTAGCTGTACTAATTTAGCACAAATGACACAAAACTTTCGAAGAACTTCTTAAAAATCATTACTCCAATGGCAGGTTTCCAGCTTCAATGGACACCTATGATATCAATAGATTAATTTCGATAGCTTCTTAAAAGTAGATCCAATCTTTCACCCTTATACGGCGTGAAAAAGATGTAGATAATGTATATTTATTTAATATACAAAAAATTAACCTTATTTACTACTGTTCGATAAGTGTTTATATTATTTATTAATGTTCGATCGTCGTCATGCAGAATATCATAAAAACGAAAACAACGCATTTTATAAACCTAGGAGGAAGGATAAATATCATGCATAGTATTCAATTATTTGTATTGACTGGATCAGTAATAACTTCTTGACTAATTGATCTTAATGTCGAACATTTTCTCCTTTGTAGACTTATTGGAAGAGTAATAAAAGATTGTTGATAACTTGATAAGTCATTTATTTTCTTTTGTTCTTTTGATAATTTTATTAATTGTCTTAATTCTTTTTCTTGTTTAGTACGAATCCAGTCTTTACGCATTTTAACATCAAAACATTTTTTTAATCGACAATATGCACATTGACGACGTGTATTAATATTAATAATACATGAACCCGAATAATGACATTTTAGCTGAGACTAAAAACAAAAAGTTATCGTTGAAATGTTATTTCATTGTATTTCGAAAAATTTTTGGATAAAATTAGTCACTTTAGACGTAGTAATTTTCAATCTGTTCATATTGAAGTTCAATGATTTACTTCTACTTGTTTTATAATTAACACAATTAGAAAGATTTGATATTTACCAAGAACTATATTCAACTGTTGAAAGTTCAAAAAGATTCACCTACATACATTGCTTTTTTGATGTTATAATCATTATACTCAATATTCAGCCTCAGGCAAGATACATTGTCAAAGATTGAGTGAAACAAATGTGGTCTAAAATATTGTCCGTGAATAACTTTTACATTTATTAGAGAACTCTAAAAATTTCACTTAAAAAAGCAGGGTTTCTAATGTAGATGTTGATTGATTAAGAGACTTTCTTATCTCATAACCAAAGGTTAGAACACCAATTATTTTGATTATTCGATATCTTATAGAAGAAAACATCGTTTTCAAACGAAATTTTTACAGCAATCAAATGAGAGTATGATCTATTCATGGGAAAAATTTCAAATCAAAACTACATTATGCGATCTTGTACAAGATCACTTGTCTGACATGAAAAGTTTATTAAAACGATCAGAACTGAAAATATATAGGTTATAAGTAACAGTTACATGTATATTTTTTATACAAAATCAATAAATATATAGAAATAATGCTCGCTCAAATATCTGCATCTTATTTAATGATTTGCAATAGAAATATTTCAAAGAGTTAGTTTGATCGACATTCAATGAATTCAATACTGCTATAATTCAAGTGCCTAGGATAGACTTTTCAAAATTTTATGAGTTCTGTATTACTCATTTCACGCTTCTTACCATATTCCGTAATGCATTTCGACGAAAAAATGCTTTACATGATTCACAAGTGATTTGATTAAAGTTATAACCATATGCTGGTGCACCACAAACACGACATTCTAAATTTGATTCTTTAGATTCTTGTGTTGAATTATTGTTTGATAATGTTTGTTGTTGATAATTATCAATCTAACAAAATGAATTATTAATATTATATTACAAATACTTCATATAGATTTAAATCATTTACTTCAAACAATGAAGATATGTTGTCTTCAATTATATCATCATGTAACATAGAATATTGATTACATTGAATTTGAGGATTAAAATCATCAAGTAGCGAAAATAAATCATCAAAATCACATGGTGATATATGATTCCAATATTGATTAGTCGACATCATAGCCGTTGTTATCAATATCTATAATAATAAAATTTTATTTGATGTTCACAAAAAAGTGTCCTTTTTGTTTTTATATTTAAGTCTATATGTTTTATATTGTTGCATTTGTTATGAAATTATTTGTTTTCGTTTTTACATGTTTTGATTTTATTCAAACAGTAAAATAAGTCAATGTATTTACATTTCGGTTGATTTCATTTGAGAATTTTTGAAATAAAGAAATTGATCGAATTCTACTTGAAGAAAAAAAAACAGGGAACTTAAGTGTTCGAACTTACGAATAAATCAACGTTGATTTTGTTTCACTTGGTTGTATCGTTATGTGATTATTAGACAGGATACGACACTTGTCGAACCTTTTTATTTTCAGGTTCTTCCAATTAGCAGGTTTTTAATAGAATCGTGTGACAAAACAAGGCATGCATTTTTTTTCTTTTTCTATTCTGTACTCCGCATGAGGCACTTATCGTTGCAGAAAACATGTATGTCGGTTTGTTTATTCGTAATAATTTAAACGTATGAATCATCAAAGAATAAAAATGAAAAGAACAGTAAACCTTGAAAAGTGTGGTGAAGCATTATTAACAACATCATAGAAAATGTCATGCACAGTAAATCAGGTCGATTGTAGTATCTGATCAAAATTCACATTCGCATAGTGACATGATTAGTCATCGAAAAAGACGAGAGATGAAGGTGACTCAGCACTTGAATGGTAAAAAGACGATGATGGATATTAGTTAAATTTAATACGTTATGATCTTGTGTAAAGCGTTAGACAGGATGCACTTCCTTTTATTCATGTTGATATTACGTATATGTAAGTTTTGTTCATTTTGTAAATGTAAGTTTAGTTGTACCAAAATAACACTAACTACGAGGTATCTGAGCAGAAGAACAACGCAAACGAGACATACACACAGAAAAGGAAAGAACATTTATGCATGTACATATGGGCGTGACCAGCGAGTCTGATGCAGCAATACTTTTTTTTTCAATATAGCTTTAGTCATGTGTCAGAAAAAAAGTGATTTTCTTTTGCCGTTTATGGTATATATATAATACTAATGATTTGTTGATTTTTAAAATCGATGTTCTCATAGAAACGGAGCTTCTCAAATATTTCTTTAAAATGATTAATTAAAGATATTCCACGTCAGAATATATCGTTCATATAATTCAATTTTAACTTACATATTTTAAATTACATGAAGTATCAGCAACAGAATTTTATTACAAAAATAGTCAATCAGGAAGTACAGCTAAGGCATGATGTTATATATTTATAGCTAGAATATTTAAATATCATAGGATTAAATCAATCAGAAATAGTACGTATGCTGAGATTTTTAAATAGATTCTCCGTAATCAAAGCTCAAAATAGCATTAGATTTGGAAGTACTTAACACTT